AAATATATATATATATATATATATATATATATATATATATATATATATACACACACATATACTCTAGGATATATTACTGAACAACTATGCAACTGAACAAAATAGCTGGGTGCAGGGGCACATGCCTGTAATCTCAGTGACTGTAATCTCACTGAGGCAGAAGGATTGCAAGTTCCAAGCCAGTCTCATCAATTTAGTGAGATCCTGCCTCAAAATAAAAAATAAAAAGGGCTGGGGATATTGCTCAATGGTTAATTACCACGGGTCAATCCACAGTATAAATCAAACACACAAAAATAATGTCAAATTGTTTATAAAATGGTTATATCTATTTATGTTCCTGACTACTAGCATATGAGTTTCCCCTGATAATCTCCAACATTTTTTGTTTTCTTTTTTGGTACTGTGGATTAAACCCAGAGGTACTTTATTCCCAGTCATTTTTTTATTTTGTGATAGGATCTCACCAAGTTGCTGAGGCATCTCTGGAACTTGTTATCCTCCTGTCTTAGCCTCTGGAGTTGCTGGGATTATAGGTATGCACCATCATGCACAGGCTCTTCAATTTTTTTTTTGGTAATGATGGAGATATTATTTTAGCTAATTTATAAGTAAAGACTAATATCATTTATGGCCTCAAATTTCACTTCACTCAATATTAAAGAAGTTGAATATCTTTTCACGTGTATTGGTATATGCATTTCTAAATTGAAATGCTTACATGTGACAGAATATTACCAACACTCATATTCAGAATTTCCCAGGCTTGCAGTCAGGAATGACCAAGTGATTGTGTTCTGGTTAGCAGGATGTAAGCAAAAGAGGCCTCTTTCAAGTCTGGCCATAAAAAATTTTGTGTGATTTTCTATCCCTATTTTCCTGTTCTATATCAGCTTTAGAGACTACATACTTCAGGTGGCATAACTAACAAATGGAACAGGGCAACTCAAACTGCTTTACTTTCAATAAAAATTGAATATTCCTTATACATGTCTTTTAGGGTAGAACATTTTGTGGTAAAACGATGTTTTTTTTTTTTTTTTAATTTTACTCTCCTTTTGTTAGTTTTACTGAGTTCAGAATTTCAAGCTGAATTTCTCCCTCTGGTTTTCCTTTTTATTTAAAAAAAACCTGGTGGATAAACATAAATATAGCACAATCACCTCTGATTATTCTTATTTTATAAATGCAGATCTGTGATCTATAATGTGAAAGAAACCTGCAGTTAGTATTGAAATGCATACAGATTTTCCTTCACTCATTCAAAAACTTTAAATTCACATAAACTTAGAATTTCATCAGTACACACTATCCTATGACAAATGATTCAGAACAGGGTGCAAAGAAACCATATGCTAACATATCCAGAAAGTTTGTTAATTAAAAAAACAAACAGAAGTAACCATGATTAAGATACAATAAGTTATTGATAACCAAATGTGCCCTAAGGGCACTGTCAAAATAGAAGCTCCAGCAAAAAAAGGCTATAGATACACAATGAGAAAATGAACTGCAAGATGCACACATGTATAATGCTGGAAAAAAAAATCACAGTCCTCCAAAATTCTTCACATTTCAGACTGACAACTTCCTCACAGAACTTTAAAGATTTATAAAATCCCACTGTTTTTGGTGTTCATTGTTTCGGACAACTCACCCTTATTTCTACTTTGGTGGAAAAAAAAAAAAAAAAAAAACCCTTCTATATAGCTCCTTTTCCCTAGCTGCTTGCAAAATTTTATTTGCTTATGTTGGTATGCTGGCTACTGAAAAGTGTTGTAGGTATGGATTTCTTTTCCATTAGTCTGCGTGCAATCTTCTACTTCCAAGAGAAAAGGACTAATTTTTCTCAATTTTAAGAAAAATCACATTATGGTTTCCCCAAATTAATGACCCTCCTTATTCTCATGGTTGGTTCCAAGAACTCTTAATTAGATGTATGTCAGAAGTTTTCATTTTATCTTATAATCAGAGGTTGGCAAAATTTCTGATACTTTCTCAGTTAGATGTCAGATGGGGGCTGGGGCCATGGATCAGCAGTAGCATGTGTGAGGCACTTGCCTGGTATGTGTGAGGCACTCAGTTTGATTCTCAGCACTGCATATAAATAAATAAAGTGTATCAACAATATATATGATGTCAGATGGTAAATATTTCAGTCTTTGAGAGTCAATTTCAGTCACAATTACTGAATTTTATCATTACATTCTACAAAAGCAGTTGTAGACATGATATAAATAAATGGATGTCACTGTGTTCCAATAAAACTTACAAAACCAAGAAGTTGGATTTGACCTGTAGGCAACTGTTTGCCAGCCCTAATATCTTAATTTCTTTTATATATATATATATATAGTTTTCTTCTCCTTGAGTCCTTGTGCTGTACCTGGTATTGTATTTGAATGTATTTTCCAGCTCACTATGCATATGCTGGGCAAGTCCTCTACCACCACTGAGCTACATCCTAAGCCCCAGATCATTTATTTTGTCTTCACCTGTGTTGCAACTGTTTTAACTCATCCACTGAGGTTTTTTAAAAAGTTGTCTATTTCAACACTTTATTTTCTAGAAGTTTCATTTTTTCTAAATCTGTATATAACCTCTCCCCACCCAATTCTTTAAACATTTTACAAATAGATGTTCTTCTGAAGTCCCCAGGGAGAATTGGGTGAGAGGTTATATATAATTTCTGCTTTCAGTCATTGTAAGGTTGTTATTTTCTTTGTTCATCTTTGATCATGAGTTAATTTCCTAATCTTAACTTGTGGTGATTTGACTTCTTTCTCTAGCCAGCCTGGGAACTTTAGCCTCTTGAAGACCTTCGACTTCCCACCTCACCATTGGCCAGTGGCACAATTAGCATGCTTAGCATGGCCTTTAACATCGGACTTTGAAGAAGTTC